GGTGCTTGCTGGCTACACAGCTCCCACAGCCCAGGTCACACACTGCCCACCTCTGCCGGGAGAAACTCAGGAAACATTCTTCAAGGTCTATTACATGACACCTCTTTCTTGACATTATCCCAGATTCTCCCTGCTCAGATGAAAGATAGGAATTCCCACCACTCTTTGCTCATACTTCATGCACTGGGTAAGTAATCTGGGAGGTTAGCACACTTGCTACAGCGACCCCAGTAAAGCAGTGACCATGGTACTGTTTGTCCCCCCAGTAGCAATAAGCTAGCAACTGGCACATCCTCCAATCTCAAAGAAATAATAATAATGTGTTAAATTATCACCCACTTCAAAGTCATTTGAAGATGAATTTAAGCCGAATACAAATGGGCTGTCTCTCTTAAGCCCCAAAGAGAAACATAATCTCTAAATCAAACAACATTATGTGTTTTCCATATACAAATAATAACCAAAGACTGAACATGCTGAAGATGAATTCATTATTTTTACAGCCAATTACCTTTCTGTCGTTGGGCATTTTACTTCACAAAATGCAATAACATTTGGAAACACTTCAGGTTTGTATTATAATCAATTCAGGAACTGGGAGAGGAAGGAGAGAGATGAAGAGAAAGACAGAAGTAGACCCAAACTGGAAAGGGAGACGGATCCATACCAAATACCCAGCTGCTGTAAATGTAAAAATATAATACTCTGCATTTATTTTTTTTAATAATTAAAAAATGACCAGAATGCCTGTTTTGATCCCACCCAAACTTTGAAAAGTTCTGGCCTTAGCTATATAACTTTATTTTTATCTGAGGGAAAATTGGGGTCTGGAGTGGGGATGTCAGGAAGGGGTGGAGGAGCCCACTTTCAAGTAGGACCACCCCCTTCCTGCTGTCTAGTGGGAGGCAGTGGCTCCAACGGTTCAAAAACCTGTTGCATTCTTGCAATTACGGTATAGAGCTGGTCTCGGCCAAGGCTTAGCATCCGGACACACGCTCTGTCACACAGATTTACTTGGGCAAACAGACCGTAAACTTCCCGACCACTTTGGGCTCTCTAGGTTACGCTGCTGCTCCAGCGGACCGAGCAGAGCTCACATACCACACAGCCCTGAAGGGGCGACCACCCAGCGCACCTCCAGGGACACCCTAGCACCTGTAGGGGCGCAGACTGTCCCTAGTCCCGGGCAGAGCAGGGTGCAGGCTCGGAGCAAATCCACCGGAGCTATACCGTCCTCCCAGCCTTCCGGCCAGAGAAGGGGAAGAGGGTCCCCGTCCTCGCGCTGGGGACACGCTCTGACGCCATCCTGCCCCTGGCCTCCACTCCGCGGGTGGTTCTAGGATCTGGGGACCCAGGGTCCCAGGCAATGCCCCTGCGGGGTCTGCAGCGGGCCTGGGGGCGTGGAGAGAGCCCACTGACCTGGGTGCGGGACTCCGCTCCGGGCGGCTCAGGTGTGCGGGCCGCTCCCGTGTCCTTCCCACCTCCGAACATGAGAGCTGCGAGCCGAGCTGCAGGTCACTGACCCACCGACCAACTGACCGACCCACCAGCGGACTGGCCGGCAGCGGCCGGGTCTGGAGCCCACGTGACGGGGGCGGGGACCCACGGAGGCTCATCCCGAGGCGC